TTCTGTCGACATTCTTTTCTATATCACTATCCTTCGTGTTCATATATATAATGGTGTACTCGGTGTGATATGAACACGTACGTCTTATGCAGTGATGAAGTAGCTCAATAAACATCATTGTCGAGAGTAGCGATAGAGTTACAACTTCATCATCTTTTCATTTTCCGTTACACTGATCACAGAATATTCAGTATTCTATACATGTAATAAATTTGAAGTTTCTATGAACCCAATGAAAAACGCTATATACATAGTTTCGATTGCTATATCAGGAATCTCAAAGTAGAAAATCCGTCTATGCTTTATAGATGAAACTTCCGCTCATATTTACGATAACAAGAGGAAATAGAAATGCTTCTACGAGTTCTTGAATTATGAGGACGAAGTTTAAATAAAAACAAAATGTACAGATACGAAGAACATATAAATGAAAAATAAAGTCTACAGATTATAAAAATTTGTCGTGCAAGTATAGATGTAAGAAGATATAACCAACAAAGTTCTTAGCTGAGTAATCTTATTTAACCCTTTCAGGTCGGAATTTTTTTCTATCAAAAATTGGTTCTTGTTATTAGTTTATTGAATCTGGCTCAAAGTCTACCCTTAAGGGTACCCCCTTTCCTCGCCCAAAATTTTTGTTTTTTTCATTTTTGGTTTTTTTGTGGCTATTGTATAGTTTCAAGTACTGTCTATCTACTGACTATATTTTGGAACCCAACAATTATCTTTAAATATTAAAAAATTCGAGGAGAAATTAAATTTACATAGTGAAAATAGCTAAAATTTTATATTTTTTGCTTTTTTCTCAAAATTAAATTTTTAGTAGGAAAAGTACTGTTTCGCCCCCGTTTTTCCGGCATGGTAAGAGAGATCGAGCTGAAAGTTTTTTACATATTCTACTCACCATTTGGGGTGAGTATTTTTTTTCTTTTCAAGAATTATTGGTCTGGTGATTTTTGGCAGCTTTCACAAAATTTGCTAGAGGAATAAAAACAAGCGTTTTTTTAGGGTAGGCTCAGTACTTTGACTTTTTTATCGAAACTATAAAAGATAAAAAGAAACTAAAAAAAAATATGCACCTCAAACAGTGTCTACTACCTGTAAAAAATTTTCAGCTCCATCAAACATATCGTCTTAGAGAAACGGAGGCGAAAACTGGGGCCATTTTTCGACATTGTGACCCTATTATCTCGTAGAAGACAGCATCAGGGAATTGTGAGTCTATGGCAACTTTTGCTGTACTCATCAAGATCTATCTGCCCTGAAAACTTCAAATTTTTCTGATGAGCCGTTCTCAAGAAATCCCGGAAAGGGGGACCCTTAAAAACTTTATGGTATTCAAAGAAACAGTTTCTCTCGTCTGTTACACAAAAAAAAACAGGTTGCAATCAGAGTATTCGATGGTTGATCGAACATGTACTTCTTTTGTGCTACAGTCAGTACATCTCGTTCGTGTTTCATTGACAGATAAATGCATTCCACCATATAACTGAACGTGGCGATGGTAATTTACACTTCTTGTCTGAAGTAGGTCTTCTAAGATTTGTTCGTTCAGCACCAGAACCAAGAAACTAAACCATCGAAACCAAATAATTCAAATACGATAAGTCATTCTAAGCTAGTTGATTGTAGCAGATAAATGGGTTAGCTAAAGATGCATTGAAGAAAAAGACGAAAAGTCGAAGCCATTTTCTTCTAGATTTCCGATCAAAGCTGTAGTAGGATATTTTCTGATTTAATCGATCAACTCCATATGTAAGCTTGTTGTAGTCTTTTATTACTTTTGGGCAGTTAATTTTAATAAGGTGTTCAGTTTTCGACCGTCGAGAGGTTGGAACGATTCCAGTGTTTTTACAGTCATTTGACGCTAGAAAGACATGCTTCGTATCCATCCATTTAAAGATAATAGATCTTATCGGACATGCTCGTAATACAATATGTCAGAGGAAGAGAGGGAAACTATGGCATTATTGTACAATCACAGAAAGAAAAAGCGAATGTCTGAGAAGAATGTATACAGCGTCAAGAAAAGATATGTATAACATGACAGTTGGAGCATTCCGTGGTCTCTATGTATAAGAAATTTTGATACGTAAATGTAAATGAAATATTTTTTCCAGCGGGAAAACATGTGGTACAACCCTTGTACTACCGTCCTAAAAGGGTTAAAAAGAGTAGACAGATGTTCGTATTTCATTTTTAGATCACGTGCTAAGAGAATATACGTTGCTTTTCACAGACCAAAATCCTTGGGTGAAGTATCAGTTGAATAGAGCATACTATTCATCAATTGAAAAACTGGATTTGAAAATTGTCTCGATAAATTAGACATTCGGTTCAGAATAGACATGAACCAAAACAAAAAGTTTTGATTTTGAGATTTTGGCTTTGATACGGTTTTGGTATATGTCTAGTTCAGAAGGATTTAATAATCTAAATCAACAATAAAATCGGAAACGCAGAAGAACTGTACTATAGTCAAAATCAGAGTGACGATAGAAGTACAACGAAGGCAAGAACTTTGTACAATGGAAAACCTACTTTTTCATCTTGCCTCTTGCAAACCTCAACATGCCTCCCTCGTCATGCCAACCATTGATGAGTTTTATTGGGTAAATTCTCAACTTTGAATCGAATCTAACTCATACTATAAGATTAGTTTTTCAATCAAAATGACTTCTACTGATCAAATCATCGAGAGCTCAAATTAAAGATCAAACAGTACAAGCCCATTCCAAAGCTCCAGCTTATCTACATCTAGAAATAAAATCTGAACTAACGCTAAGTGAATACAAATATCTACTTACTTATTACTCGATCACACTCGCTTATGGTCATACCTTACTCAATAGAACTGGAACTGTTCATTAAAACATCATACCAAAAATATATATGATATCGCGACAACAATCACATATATATGTATTTCTATCATTTCCTTCAACAAACAATAAAAGCGTCATTTGAAAGCGTTTTAGACAAATCTTTCTCCACTGAACGCTACAAAAACTCTTGATCCCTCACAACACTTCATTTTCAAAAAATCAATTAGTTTAAAAGCCTTTTCTAGGATTTGACCAGCATCAGCTCGGAAAATCATCCAACCTGTCAAATGCAAAACACCCGAAGTATGGTCTTGATCGCTCTACTAATCTTCGTCTTGATCGTGATGATGATGATGCTGATAGAGATGGTTATGATGACGACTGGGATTGAGACTGAAGTTCGATTTACAACTTTGAACATTTCATTTTTCAAGCCAGAAAGTATTTTTTGGTTTACCTGTTTTGGACTTCTAATTTAAGAAATTATTAGATGTCTCGAAGAAAAATTTGACTACCGTGTGTTAAAAAGATGTAGGCTAATTTAGTGGGTTATTTAGAAAGCAATCAATCTGCTATTGCGTTCTATGGTGATTTTTCTGTTCGATATCGGAATATAGATGGTAAGTAAAGGTAATCAATTTTCCGGAAGAAACTTATTACATTTTACGATGTAAATGTAAGCGAAGACTTTTTGCAGCAAGATATGTTGAAAATGTCTTCAATAACTCTGTTTCTCTAATCAACCATATATTATTATCACTTATTAGTCAAATCGGACCGATGTACTTCTCCTGATTGCTACTTTTACATACGAGCGTAACCGTAAATCTAAAGTGCTGTTTGATATAAAGGTATTCCTCCCTACATATCAAGATTTCATAGTTGAAGACCGAATCAAAAAGCCTAGTATTGAAGAGAATATTTCATCAATTTTAAAAATAGTCTTGGTTCTATGCGTAACTTCTGGCACTACTGAGATTGTGTTTTAGTGGCTAATGAATCATCTTGATCGCACTATTCTTAATATTGTTATGTTAGACTGACACTAACAAATCGATCGAATGGTTAGATAATTCCATTTTATAGACTGAACATTTCTGAACACTTCGATTCAGAGTATATTTATAGAATTCTAACAATGGAACTGTGTGAGCTGTAACTCAAGAAGATTAGACATATTCGGCTCAAATTGAAGGTCTCACTGGCAAACTAACGAATTTAAAATATGACGCGCCTATGGCGTACCTGGACTGAGATATTCGAATTTCAATTTATACATAGTTTAGACATAAAACGGAAAAAATCATATGAATTATTCATATCTAGTGCTTTTTTGCAACTCATTGATTTTCGAACCAACAGTTTCTAGAACCCTATTGAAAGTGATCCATCGTATTAAGATCACACTAGTTTTGATATCTTCTAATATTTTCATGGTATAGAAATGAAAAGGATGAGTTTTGATTCATGTAATCAGTATGTCATCAACATTTTCGTTTTTATTTATGGTGAACAAAAGTATACAATATTACAACATATGACCATTATCACTTCAAATGAAGATGAAGATCTTCAATTAAATGGCAAAAACAAAGATGTTTTTTGCACCAAGTACAAACTAGTAGCGTTCATTCTTCACAATTGTTCATCGAACAGTAAAGATCATGAAATGTAAAGCAAATGCCTTTTGGTTTTTCAATTTCACCGACCGTTTCATTTGTTAGTTTTGCTTGTAAAAATCCATATTTAATAAGATTTTTGAATTGCCCAGCCGATAGAATGTCGGTGTGGGCATGGGCGTGGGTGTGGGTGTGGGGTATTGGTATGGGTGAGTGTGATGTATGGGTGTCGGTTGGGCGCATAAAATACATTGACACCGCGCACCCACACTCCACACCCCTATTAATCAACATCTGATCAGATGAATAAATTAAAGAATTTATTAATATTAAAGATGTTGAGTATTGAATGTTAATTTCTTCTAACCAATTGAAGAATATTTTTCTAGAAATAAAGAAACATAAAACAATTGATCTTCTAAAAATACTAATCGATATACTTGAATGGATGAATCTTAAATTTGATATAAATTCCATCTACTTCCATGTTGAGTGTCCATTTTCTTTCAATCCAAAGTGATGAACAAAATTCATTTAACTCTTTTGAACAAATTTCTTATTGATGATTGTCATTGTTAATTTTATTATAATATGTCAAATCAAATTTATTTAATTGAGGAAAATAATCTCGAATTAACTGTTCCCATCGAGAAGCATGAAGATAAGTGATATCTTCAGATTGAGTAATAATCGATAATTTCTTTAATTTGCAATTTATTGTTCTAATAAATCGTTTAGAATTCACAAAATCAACAGTGTCCATATGTAAAGAAAGATAAATTAAAGTTTCTAATCGAATCGATGGAATCCATGATTTATTTTCAATACTATTAAAATCATAGCTAAATTTCAAATAACGAAGTTGTGGTGTACAATAAGCAATTCCAGCAAGTTCTTGGAATGTACAATAATGATCGATCAGAAGATATTCTAGTGGACTTTGTTCATTGGCCAGAGTTGGTAATGAGACGAATAAATTTGTTTTATTCGGAACAAATTTATAATATTTTAATTTTGAAAGGCTAAATACTAATTGATAAATATCGGTTCCATGACTTGATTCATCAAACATGTCGATAGTTAAGTAATAAAGATGTGGTAGAAATGATAGTTTAGTAAGAATGGACATGAAGAGGTTGTAGTCTATATTCCAAAAACTAGGTGATTCGACATGATCAAGTGATGAATTGATTGTAAATGATGAGAGAACTCCTAAGATATTTGATGAAATAGATAAAAAAAGAAAAGATTTGAGATCGATGGTGACAGATGATTGGCTGTCAATGATGCATAAAATCATCTTGTCTAGTTAAACTAGAACATTGAATTTTGAGTAAAAGAGATGATGAAGTAATTAATTCTTGAAAACGTCGATTAAGATTATAAAACGCTTGATAGATATAACAACCATCGAAATAATCAAAGATTTTGATAAATTAATTCATTCGAAAGATTTCCGATAATAGTTATGGATAATCTACACAAATATTCAAGAGAAATATTCGATTCAATTAACATATAACTTACATTTCGTGATCAAGTTGGCTATTCTTCATCCGTTTATATGAATTCGATTTTCGTTTCACTTTATCCATATATGATCTGAAACAAGCACGTCAGTCATTCATATCTATAAGTAAGGAGACTTTTTATCGACATTGATAAACATCATACATAAGCCAATACTCATATTAAAGAGAAACTTCACATATATATGGTCGTCAGACATGAACAAATGATCTACTGACTGATAAAATGAATGAATGCGCTTACTTTTTAGTGACTATTTCTGAATGCATTGTGTGAATATTTTTTTTAAACTGGACTAAATATTAAGACTTATATATATTTAGAATCAGTGTAGTACGAGTAATAATGTATGATAAAAATTATGCTGGCAATTTTTAGACAACGAATAGATGACACTAAGTGATATTTTCTTATGTCGGAGGGTTTGTCATGGTAACGACATAGAGTGGCTGAAACATGTACAGATATTCATTTACACATTACGTGCAAGCTATTGTTATTTGGGCTAACTTCTTTGCGTTTAACTGGTTTAAAATTTGCAATATAGGTTTCAATGGGTGTTTTATTTTTTGAATGGTACAGAAGTAAAAATACAATAAGAAACATAAAAAATATCAACATCAAAAAGTATCAATAAAAAATCTAGATAAAAGTAACAAGAAAATAATATATAAAATAATATATAAAATAGTAAAAAAATATATAAAATAATAAAAAAAATATATGAAATAACTATATAATTATTTTGAATTAGTCGAATGAAGTAAGATCATCAGATGAATCAATATTCTAAAATATTGCATAAAAAAAGAATAAATAAGTGAACTCTTAGTTTAATTTGCTTCGTAAACTGTACCTGATTTAAATGCAAAAAATCCAACGAAGAAATTTCATCAGAGCTGTACGATACATGGTCATAGTTGATATTTTCATTTCCTCTGGCACAATAATCATGCTCATGTAAGATGATTTTACTCATATCTATAGTTGGAATTGATGCCTACAGCATTTATCGAGATTGTCGAAATAATGTTTTTCTGAACGTACCGATTCTTTTTGCTTTGTCAACAACGCTGGAGAAATTGATGTACGATTTGAACACTTTGTTGGATCCCACGAACAATATATGATACATGGTTGTGAATATGTACCAAATTTGCACTTCTTACAGTTGCCTGTGCACTTGCAAGACTTAAAGTACGAAATAGTCTTTAAAACTGATAAACATAAAACACTACAATTACGTGGGGCAATGCAAATGTTTTTTCGTCCGACTCCATGAAAAGACTTGACTAAGAACTAGTTAAACAGCTATAATGCCCAGACATATTTAGGATTATTTGCAAATTTTCAGAGTTTTAAGTTCTGTGCTTTGTTGTAGTCTATCATTTCTTTTATACTATGTAGACGTGATTTCAAAAACGTGTGTAGCAGGCTGAATAGTAGTGCTTTGTATATCAGTATTCAATCCCTTAATAAGTTGTATTAAAAAGAACAAAATACACAACAATGTGCAGTGTGAAAAGCTCTACAAGTTACACACGACCCTTTTTTATAGTTGCATGTTTTACTCTCCAAATGGACAACATTTTCAGCAATCAAATTTCTACGCTGCGAAAAAATAACACGAACGAAAAATTTCTTCTTTCGTATTTTACCTTTCCATCGCCTATACGAATTGTAGAACATTTCACACCGCATCTTGCCTCATATTCTATTTTTTTTAATAAATCATATTAGGTGATGAAATACAAAAAAAGGAAGTCCTCATTCGTATAGGATATTTGGAGTGTTGAAAATTGGCCGGCAGAATACGACTTTTTTTTAAACAAAAGGTGCCTGTATAATATAAACCATCATTTGCAAATTGTAGTTTTTCACGCTGCATCTTGTGGTGTATTTTGTTTTTTTAAATAAAACACACTAGGTGATAAATGAGAAAAAATGCATTCGTCGCATACCAAAAAAATGACATTTTTGCAGCATCGAAATTCTATCGTTCAAAATTTTGTCGATTTTCAAAACAAAAGGTACAGCTGTAAAAGTAGCTGTCTTATGCAAATTGCAGAGCTTTTCACGCTGCATCTTGTGGTATGTATTGTTTTTTTGTTTAATAGAAAACATCACGTAAAACAAAGATGAAATAAGAACAAAACGAATTTGTTTTTTATCAAAATCACATTTTTTACAGTATCCAAGTTGGATCGCTCAAAACTTTGTCGATATTGAGGGTGTGGGTGTGGGTGTGTGGGCGTGGGTGGGTGTGTGGGTGTGGGTGTGGGTGGGATGAATTCAGAACACCACCCACACCCACACCATCAAGTCTCCATATTTATCAAAATTTCGTTTTTAACTGGGCTGCCCTGAGCAAATGGAACAGTATGGATAGCTGAAATTTGCAGGCGAGATACATCTCTCAGTATCCTATTTGGAGTAAAAGTTTCAGAGTCATATATCATTCCTATCAAAATTTATGAAGCACCAAAGTTACCGAAAATGGATCATTTTTCATATATTGAGTGCTTCATAAAATTCTAATGGCTCAATATTTTAAAACGATAATTTTATGGTAAATAGAATTCACTGAGATATATGGTAGTAAAAAAATTCAGCTGATTTGGTTGAGCCATTCGGGAGATATCGTTGCATTAGGACCCTCATTTATATACTATGGGGGCCAATTAATTTGCCCCCTACGTTATATTTTTTTTACTACATTTTCTTTATTTATTAATCTATTAAATACGGCAAGATAGTATGTATTACACGTGCATCTTGTAGTGTACTTATAAATATACAACAAGATGCAGATGAAATACATACTTTCTCACCATATTTAATAGCTTAATAAATAAAGAAAATGCAGTAAAAAAAAACAAAAAAATAACATAGGGGGGAAAATTAATTGGCCCCCATAGTTATGGTCATTTTTAGAACTTTTTGTAAAATACTCCTAAAAAACTGAGGGTTCAATATTTTTTGAATCGGCCTGCGTCAAAATTCATAAAACTCTTCCCTCTATAACATATCTTAAATTGAGAAAAATCTAACAATATCGATTGAGCAACTTCGGTCGTGGCTTACATGAACTGACTCTTATGTAGTCTGGTAGAAATAAGTCAAGTAGATAAGGACAGAGTGAAAATGTCGTCCTTTATCTCAAAAATAAGTAACATGCACAAAGAAAAAAAAACGACAGAAAATAAACGCGTCCTGTCTGCATTGCATGGGCCAACCAATAGAGTTTGAAGCTGATGCAATACACGTGCATTGATATTATTATTCTAACCTTCCACAAAGAATTATTGCATGATGCATGCACAACTTGTATCTATCGTTTGGCTTGTTTACGCCATCGCATGCTTCTATTTCGTTCGACCACTTCGCACATTTTCATATCGAGCTATTCTGACAACTGTACCATGCATGTTTCTAATATTCATCAGTTGTCGAAATCTGACCTATCTTCGTATGTCATCCGTCATGATCATCGCGTTCTACTGGATAATAACAATTCGTCTTGTTCATTTAATTGTACTCTCACCTGAAAAATGTCCGTCTCTTCGATCTTTTGCTTGGGCATTGTTCTGGCTTTTTATTCCTATCATACGATGCGAGTCAAAACATTCCGTTGTCTTTGTTCTCGTTGCTGGAGGTATTAAACTTCTATTGAACCATTGGATCTATAAATGGTTTCTGATCTGTGAACCAAGTGATAGTTATGCTAGAATGGCCATGTTCTATGTCTGGCTTTGCACAGGCACATATTTAATCGATGCACAAATCGTTCTTGTTCGACTCATCACACGGAATAGGTACACTGTGCTACCGTTCAATGACTATCCATTTCTCTCAAAATCCATTCGAGAATTTTGGGGTCGCCGATACAATTATTTCGTTCATACACTTCTTAAGGACTCGGTCTTCGAGCCCGTTCGCCATGTGTTTTCAGTTTCATCGGTAGTCGCCGCTTTGACAAGTTTCTTTGTGAGCGGTCTGCTTCATGCACATGTGGCTGTCAGTGTCTTCGGCGCGTCATCTCCATTACCTTCGTTGATTTTTTTTCTTCTGCAAGGCATCGCATGCTTTGTGGAGATGCTCTTTCCAATTACTTTACCACGACCAATTGGAATATTAGTGACACATATATTTCTTCTGGCAACAGCGCCGCTCTATGCAGGTTTGTATACACGTGCTGGTCCACATTTTTTCGTGCTCAACACGCCACTGTTGGCTAATACTACATGGATTCCTCGACTGCCCGTGCCTCAATTCTGCCCAAAATGATTCAGACCAATGGGCAACTGATTGAACACTTGAACGCTAAATTTTATGCATCATTCAAATAGATCTATTTTAATCGAAACATAAATCACTAGAATACTACCACAAAAGTTCCGGACAGAAATAGTAAAGTAATTACTGATAGAAAAAGAATATTTTTCCTCTCAACGGTTCGATAATAAGAATACAGAAATCATAGCTGCTCTATTTTTCCTCGATTTCTTCTCACTATTGCGACTTATTCATAGATGGGCATTC